ACAAAAGACAAAAAAAAAAAAAAAAAAAAAAAAAAAACTGTGTTCGGAAGACAGGAGTGATCTGGCCCGCTGGAGCAGGTGGGGAGCTGAGTAGGCAAGGAACCCAAATGGGGGCCTGTTTATAGAGGGCCTTGAGCCCAGGCAGGACTTTGAGACTAGATGAGGAAGGCAATTCAAGGTCACTGAAGGTGATATTCTTTTTTTTTCCCCTGACTGGTAAGGGGATCGCAACCCTCGGAATGGTGTTGTCTGCACCACACTCAGCCAGTGAGCACACCAGCCTTTCCTATAAAGGATCCGAACCCACAGCCTCAGCGCTACCAGCGCCGCACCCTCCCGAGTGAGCCATGGGGCCGGCCCAGGTGATATTCTGAACTGAAAAACTATATGATGAAAGCAGTACTTTAGGATTAACCTGGTAGTGGCCAGTGTGTAAAAGAGAATAAAACAAAGTCAGAAATACTAGCTAAGAAACAGTGTAGCTAAGAAATAAATCGGGTATGAGTAGTCACTGTCTCTTAGGTCAGTTATGCTAAAAAGAGATGAGAACTAATAATGCTGAAGATATTTTGAAGCATCAACGAGATTTTTCTATTACAGCCTGCTTCATTGTTACTTTAACATAATAATGAGTTTATTCAAGCTATTTGATAACCTATCCTTTCTTACTTCTCTTAACAATTGCACTAATTTGTGAAAGCCCTAAAAGACATTCATCTGAACCACCAATTCAATATAATTTAAATCAAAGTCCCAATTAATTTGACAAACTGATATACTTAAAAATATTAAAGCACACTCCCTAGTCTATTAAAATCTTTTAAACATTCATGGATTTTTTTTAAGATTGAGATTCTTTTATAGATTGTATAATGCCCAATTTCTAAAAAAGGTCAAGTTTAAAAACATACTTATAATAAAATAGGCAAACATTTTAAATATCCCACCAATCAGAGGCTACAAACAGACTTTTAAAAAAAACAACAAAAAAAAAACCACCCCACAGGACCATTTAAAGCTGGAAGAGACCTAAGCAGTATTCTGACACAAGCCTATACCCAATCTGAGAGTCTCCTTTCTAAGCAGAAAATGTCTATCTAGGCTGAGACCAAAAGTTGTCAGTGAGAAGGAATAACCCTTCTCACAACATCCCTTTCCAATTCTGGCCAAAAGAAACCACTAGAAGGTTCTTATTAAAAAGAAAGTGAAACTTTCCCCCTTAGAACATGCAATCTCTGATCATACCTCATAAGATTATAAGGACTAAATAAACATATGCAAAATACTTAAGACAACACCTGGCATATAGTTAGCACGCAACCAATGTTAGCAATGTCCATTATTATCAACTCTAGGGCCAATAATGATTAATTCACTTGTAATTTCTTCAGATATTTAAAAACCACTCCACTTCCCTCTTCCCTCCTTCATCACCACACCCTAATACTCTCTTATCTAGCCTCTACATTACCAGGTTTTTAAAATAAGATTTCAAACCTCCTGATCAAGCAAGTAACTCTCCTTCCTGGAATGTATTACTGTACATCCTAAACCATGGCCCCCGGAAAGATGTTATGTTACCAGTAATAGTAGTTTACTTGACTATAGAAAACACCAACCCAAGAGCACATTCAAACTAAGAACTCTATGTGGTAAGTCTTAAATTTAGTTATTTGCAAAGTGTCAATATCCTTTACCAGTCAAGAGGAGAAAAATACCATGCAAAGTTGTCAGGTTACATAATTCTAGGTCATTAAACCAATAATTAGTAAATCCTATAAGGCTCTGAATGTAAAATGAAAATAGGTCACTGAAGCATCTCATTTCACGGCCTACAACATACTACTGAGAAAATGATACTAAGTTGTTATACAAAATTTTATTAACTAGTAATCACCACTTACATAATTGTAGTGTTCTCATATGTGATTTCACAATAAACCCTGAAAATTAAAAATCTATAAATGCCTTCTGATAAAATCAAGAGTTCAGTATTACTTATGCTTAGTATTTTTTTTTATACCCCAAGTCTGAAATTTTTTTAAATTCATAAGGAGTTACCAATCTCAGAAACTGCTATTAACCACAACACCCAATTCCCTGACCATGTCAGACAAAGCTCTCTCTTAGCATACAAGGACCCTGTCCAGGTCATCCTTCCATCCTTCCATCCCCCACAGCTCAGTGTCTTATCCATTCTAGGAACTTTCTAAATGTCTGAATAAATGAAAAACACAAAACAGCCTAGAAAATATCACAACTGAATATAACTGGATTTAAGTTCAATAAAAAAATTCTTTTTTATGAGTTATTTTCATAACCTGCATTAAGATTCAGCCTGTGAAATTTCTACTATTAACACTTCCAAAGGCCAAAATGTAAACACAAGTCAAGTGACGATTACATGTTTGAAATTACAAATTACCGCTTCAAATTTCTCTCTGTTCTCTCGAAGATAGTGAATGCAGGCCATCCTGACTTCAACATGGCGAGACTGAGAGTGCAATACCTAAAAAGAAAAAGGAACACACTACTAAGCATTTTCTTAAAAGTGGATACAGGTGCCTTCTTTCACACCCAAAATAACCTGACAACCAACAAATATCAGTCTCCCTCCATTTCCTTTTCTATTATTTTAATATCTTTACTCATTCCCACTGCTTCCTCTAAGCACAATGATGACATAACATATATATCTTTACTCATTCCCACTGCTTCCTCTAAGCACAATGATGACATAATATAAACAATAATATTTCTTAAACCAGATGTCATTCTATAAAGAACTTACTACCATTTCTCCTTTAGAATACTAAAATCACTCCTTTGAGGATATCTTTGTAAACTTAAGACACTTTCTTCTCTTGGTCAGCCCTCTACAATAACTTTGCTCTTCACAAAGCACAGCTAACAAAACCCCTGCTACATAGTGCTGAGAATCATTCTGCGTTGTAAGAAAAGAGAACTAATAGGCAACTTCAGCAGGAATCCTCTGAGGCTTAAAGCCTGTAAAGATAGATTTCTTTTTCCCAATAATTTTGAAGGTACTTAGTGGCCTTATGTAGAAATTTAAGTCCACTACAGTTTTAGAAAAATTAAGGCCCTCATTATTAAATCCCTAATTATCAAGCTTACAAGACTACAAAGAACATTTAAGTGAGCAGCATGAAGGATGCAAAAATGTGTGCTGTCATCCCAAGAGGCTTGAGATTTGTTCTTTTGCCCCAAATCGTAAAGCGCCAACCTACAAAGTATAATCCAGATTCTCTCACTTGGTAGCCTCTTTATTCTTCTGTTAAACAACCAGTTCAAGAAAAAGATAACTTACTGGCATTGTCCTTTACTAAAATTCTAAAGCTCTGGATTGAAACAAACTAATATTTCTTATCAAATGTTTAGAAATCCTCTGGCTAGCCCCCAATACTTGACCATGCTTAGAACAGATTCAAATTCTTTGCTTTTACTAGATACCTCAAATGAAGATATTCCTGGTACGGTAAAGGGATAAGGTTTAAAAAAAAAAAAAAAAAAAAAAAACACTTGAACACTTGAAATAACACATTTCGAACTACTATCAAGGTCTCTTGGGAATTTATATTAATAGAAAATAGTTTTAAGAGTTACAGCTCCAATGGAGTGATTTTTCCCTTATGTTCAGGGTGAGCAGAGAATTCAGGAAAAGGGAGACTCCAGCTGCACATTTTACAGCTCTCTTGGACAACAGCCAAGGCTCATTTATACCCTCAGAACTAGAGGCACAACTGCCTGGACAGCTAAATATGTCCTATTATACTGAGATACATTGAAGACGCACTAACCTGACGTTAGCAATGAGTCTGTTTTCAGTTTACTATGTGGTTTTCAGCTTACCTTAGTGTACCTTCATTGTTGTCTTGGGACACTATTAAAAAATATCCTTACATATTCTAAGCTTCCAGCACCAGAACATCAATATATAAAAATAACCACCACACAATTTTTTGCCAATTCTACAAATGACACTTAGCAACACTTCTTTCACAAAAGCTGATAGACACTACTATGAATCTAGGTATTATTAGTATAAGTGAACCACAAAGTCATCTAATAGAGTTTTCCCACTGTTAGCAAAGTGAAGCTAGTCTTAAAGCCATTTACCGAATAACAAGTGGCAGGCATAAGTTAGTAAAGCTTATTTTCCATCCAAAAAAAAAAAGGCAGGCATATCTATTAGTTTTTCTCCTCTTTCAAACGGATTTGATCACATAGAATCAATCTGAACCTGTTGCTCAAAAGCAACTCTCAGCAACTTCCATAAAGTGTGGAGGGTGCTGGTAATTTACAAAGCCAAGGACTACAAGGTTAAATATCAACTTTTTAAAAAATAAATTATTGTGCAAATTCGAGGAATTCAAGTGGTATGATAAATATCTATCTTTACAAATTATTATATACATGAAAATAAGCTACAAGTAGTAGGCGTTCCCATCTTTACTTGGGACAAGATAGTGATAAACACTGGGAAAGGCCGAGACAGTTTTAGCAAGTCCTCTAGAGTGCCCTATTTTTAGCTCCACGGCTCTGGAGCTGATTCGGGTCAGGGATCCTGCAGGCCAAAGTCCGCAAGCGTAAAAAGGAAAGAGCCTATCTAAATCAGGTAATTTGGAGGGAAAGACCACTCCTAACTCGAGTCTCCTCCTCTTTTCTAAAGACTGCCATCTTCATAACTTACTCTGACTCCTTCTTAGAAATGGATATTTATTGTTATTTCAAAGGAGAAATTGTTGGCAAAAATGAAATCCTTTGTACACATTTTTAATGGGCAACCTGAGATCGTTGTTACTTCCTTTTTTCACACACACACACACACACACACACACACACACAACTCTGCCTTTGGCCATGATGGCTACACACTTAGTCCATATCTATTGAATAACTGAGCTTCCTCCAAAGTTGACAGTCTTGAGCTAAGCTCAGTTCAGTACAATAAAAATCAGAGTCACATAACTTGGAGAGCATTCCCTTATGCCTAACCTAAATTCCATTACAAGACACAATAAAATATCTTATCTGATGTTAACAGTGAGTTTTTAGTATAACTAGTTCTTGCACCTTTCTACTTAAAAATAGAGACCCCACTACAATAGAAAGGCTTCTGTATAATCAAATTTGCCAAACATCTACAGCATGTAATACTGAAAACAAACACACCTTTCTGTTTCGATATAAACTAGAACCTGGATAATTCAACTCCAAATAAGGTCTCAATTTTCCTTATCTCTATTAATTTCTACCTTCTTCCTTACCAAACTCTTGCTAGAGCTAACAGTAGGAATACGTAATAAATATGAACTGAATTATTTCCATCTCTTCCCTCTGCTTCTGGAGGTGCAGAGGGGTTCAAGGAGGCTGAGACGGAGGAACCGGTACAGATGAAGATCAGAAAAATTCACAAATGGGGCAAACTACCCACTAATAGTAAGGGCTGGGATGTGTGAGTGGATGTAAACATACCCCACCACAACACTGGACCATCCTAAATTTCCGAAAATGAGAGAAGTCTAATGAAAAGAAAAAGACAGAGCCTGGTTTGAGAAGCTTTCAGAAGAATTTCAACGACAATGCATACAATATAATGTAAAGGTTTGTACGTACTAATTTTCTTGTTCAAAAAAAAAGGTTTTATGCTAGATGTGAAAAAGAGGGCCTTTAGAAAATAAATGGCTGGCCTTTTAATGTTTAAAAAACAAGAGTAGACTGGTCTCCAGATGTTAAGTAAAACATTTACTCACAAATGAAAATTTTAAAAGCCATTTAGCACATTCAAAAAAAAGTGAGGAAAAAAACAAACATCATAAAAACCCCACAGGGGTAGGGGTGGGGGTGGAGGGTGGGGAGGAGCAGATCTTAAGCCAAAGGAAAGCAAACTGTTAAAGCTGTGAAATACACACCAGGTCAGTAATGTGAAACATAATCCAACTACTTCAGTAGCTATTTTTCAATATAGGATGGTTTTTGGGAGGAGCAGATCTTAAGCCAAAGGAAAGCAAACTGTTAAAGCTGTGAAATACACACCAGGGCAGTAATGTGAAACATAATCCAACTACTTCAGTAGCTATTTTTCAATATAGGATGGTTTTTGGTGCTTGCACACCTACAACACAGTGTAATATAAAATAAGCTCCCTCAAAAAAAAAAAAAATCAGAACTATTAGAAAGTGGTTTTGACCATTAACGGAGAACAATACGACCAAGGGCCTAGAGAACCCCAATTATATCCTTCCTACTACCAACACCAAAACAGACTTTTCAAAAAGTACATTCTCTTTAGTATACCTACACAGCCTTGCAGAGCATAATGAAGTATGGGATCTACCCAAAGACAATTCTTTCAAAACAGTCCATATCTGTAAAAGGTTGGTTTTCTCAAACTGCAAAGTTTGCCCTCTTGATTCAAGTGACATCGGCGGGCTTGACTACCCCACATTCCAAAGTCCAGTGACAGAAAAAAATATGTTCCACGAGTAAAGTCTGGGGCACCACCTAACTCTAGCAAACATTCAGTTTACTGGTGTGAATGCTGCGCTCATAAAACGAAGGGAAGGCAGATGCGGAACATGTCGCCAGGTACCCAGTCAACAGTACGCGCTCCGAGGAGACCTCACGAGCAGTTCTCAACCCATTATCCCTTCGCCAGGAAGGACGACACCCAGTTAATTCACGGGTTTTTAAGTTTCGATTTACATCTCTCGGACCCAAAGCAGCGCTCCCATTCCGGCGTTACAATGGGCCGCTGTGACGAGAGCGGGGCCACGCGCACCCCGGACGTGGGCGGCCCGGACGGCTGCCGGCTGCCGCTTCCCCCCCCAGCCCCGCCGCACCCGCCTCCCGCCTCCCCCATCCCCCCGCCAATTACCTGCTCCGCCACGGCCCGGAACAGGCAAGACCCGTCCTTGGCGACCAGTTTCCGATA